GGCAGGCTATAAACTTTTACATAGTCTTGTCTCAAAGTGACCTAACTACAAAACTAACAGATGGAAACAGAGGGTAGAGTAATGTAGAGCAGTGTGGCTTGTTCTCGTTACTTCACAGCAAAGTTAACTGAAGTACTTTTGAACCAGATGCTGGTGAAAAACTCCTCTACTCCCGTCCTGTGTGATTGACTCCTTGGCTCGAAGCGCTGTCAGCAGCAGGAGAGATGATCTGTGGTGGATTTTATTACTGCCTTATGACCAGGATGCACCCTTTTTATTCACTGACTGTGGAAATCTATTGTTTTCATGTTACAGATGACAAACATTAGTAGTAAACTGTGAGCAGGTATGAGACAATATGAAAAATTTTGTTTCACAACTGTCCTAGCCAAAATAAATGTGATTTATGATATTGTGCTGATAATCATCAAAATATGCTTAAACTCTAAAAATATCACTACAGCATACTGAAATCATTTTACACTTTGTTAAGAAACAAATACTTTTATTGCATCACGGATAGGGCACACATCTCTTTTTATAGTGAGCATCCTCTTTAGTGAAAAGCAAAGAATCTTAAAAGCCAGGGTTTCTCAGTGTGTTTGCAGCCTGTCTTTGCAAAGTCTCTTTTAATGTTGGTTGCCCAGAAGTCTCTTTAAGTGCTACTGGATACGATATTTACAATTACCCCAATAATTAAATTTCACCAAGATCAATTTCTTGGTTTTTTTTTTGTTTTGTTTTTCTTTTAACAAGCCACTATAAAATCTTATATTGTGCCATCCCTGAGCGTAAACCTTCCCCATGTAGGCTGTTGCATTAGTTGAGTGTAGGGCAGCTTTTCTGCAGAGACCATAAATAAAATATTTGTCATAATTGTGGATGCGGTGTATTGACAAAAAATATCAGTATTAATGTTAAGTATTTATAAATCTGTTGATAAAAAACTGCGAAAGCACAAGACATAAAATACCCACTGAGTTTATGCATTGGTCACAAGTGTTGAATATTCTGGTACAGCCCTGGTCTTTAGGTATTTCTCATTAACACTCAACCCTGCTAATCTGTGGTTTGTTCAGATTTGAAGTCTTTCTTGTGAAATAACCAAGAATGTTTTAACTTAGAAAGTATTGTGTTCATGTTGGCTCCTATCATTCACTGTGAGAAGTTGATTGTGAAAATAGGTTTTCAGTATTGTGCCCATGTTGGCTCCCATCATTTATTGTAAGAAGTTGATTGTGAAAATAGGTTTTCAGTGCCTTTTTAACAAAGTTATTTTTGGACTAAACACCTACTTTGATGTCTGCTATTCTGACGTCAGACAAACAAGACCAAGATGTGTCTGTCTGTGTCTGAGATGGTTGCTGTAGTTTCTTTAACAAAAGCGCCATTGAATCAGATGCTGAAAACATCCCTTTATAGTTTGAGTTTTCATTGTCTCAGTGCTTCATCAGACAGTCTGTCTGTGAGTTCTTTCCACCACATAACCTGCAGCTTGGTTTCTGTCAGACACTATCTGCCGTAGATATAGTGTATGTAGGAAATGTGCCTGTGACCGACTGGAGGATTGGCCCGTTTCACAACATGATTGATGTGCTGCAGCTCCTCTATAAACCTGAATATAAATTCAGTCCTTTTTTTCCCCCTCTGATTCCATTTCATACATGGTTATTGCCCGGCATTGTTGGCCAATAAAAAAAAGAATATAAGCAGAAAATATTAGGTAATATCTGCACTGTGAATGCGGTTTTAAATCAGAAGTGCTTTGCCTTAGACCAGCAGCCCTAACACTGTCCAACACTGTGCCTAGTCTGGAGCTCAGGGCTCAAATTCCTTGCTGTCTCTGCTTTAGCATTCTGGATGGCAGTGGAGCTCTATTGATTTGACTTGATTGAGCTGTTAAATAAATTTGGAGTCAGACGTAATCCAATTTTACTGCTGTCTTCAGTCTTTCTACGTTAGAAATTGGCAGCATTGTTATGTAAACCTGGAGTTTGCATTGAAAAGACAAACTTGAGAGGACCATGCCCTGCACACAGAGGCGTGAGCACACAGCCACAGAGTTCCTGAAATTAACTTTTCGCCTCACTTACCAAGAACTGCTAAACTAATAAGAAATTCCAATAATTTTCACCAGCCAAAGTATTTAATATTCATTACTCTAAGAAACATGTAGTCATGCCTGTTCTAAATGCTATTTCATGAATAGAATCGGGTGCAGTGTGTTATTTTAAGATTCACTGCATTATGCAGTGGGTCAAGTTCATTGTCATCCCCTCTCCACAAGCTGGAATAATGCTGCTTTGTAGAAGGAGCATGAGAGTCAGCCACTGAGAAGCCCGTTTGCGACAGAGGGCCTGTTAACACCTGGTATTCTGGCATCTTGGGTGATCTGATCACAAGTGGACAGCTTGAAGTCTGTTGAACACCCGGTGTTAGAAAGCATCTCCACATGTGTCTCGACTGGTCACTCATTATCATCAATCATAATGCCTCATTCTGTGGAAAAATAAATGTGAATATTTCTGTTAGCAAAGGCCAAATGCGTTTTTTTAATACAAGTTAAGTTTTTTCTCAAAGAAGGTACATATTGTTACTATTGCCGTTGTCACCTGAATTTCAGCAGGCAATGTGTTTTGTGTGTATTCTATTGGAGGTGGGGCCCCGTTCATTCCTATGATAGTTGTTCAGTGGTGCATGAAACCAAAAAAGGTTTCAATTTCTGAGTATGAATCACCCAAATCTTCGAAATCCATGGACCCATAGAGCAAGTGCACAAGCGTGTAATCCCCTGCCTTCTAACTGCTCTGTCTCAGACATGCTGTAATGAATGACAGGAGAAAAAATAATTTCGTCTATTTTACGAAGTTTTAGGACATAATGACTTGGTTAAGGACAGTTTAAATCTTCATACTGGGAAATTGGTGCACCTCAAAAAATAGATCTGCTGATTTACAGATGCCTATTTCACAATGTTAGCCTATGTGAAGAAGGTCAATTGACTGACTGGGAAGTTGTAATTCCACAGTTTGCCCACTATGTGAAATTGGCTTCAAAACATGGTGCTGCTTCATTCACAAGAATCCATTTTGCCTGATGTTGTTTCTTCTTCTTTGTCGTATTCTTTGTCTTTGTGTTCTTCTTCTTCTTCCTCCTCCTTTTCTTCCTCTTCTTCTTCTTCTTCTTCTTCTTCTTCTTCTTCTTCTTCATCTTTTATTGTTATGAATTCTTCTTGTTGTTTCACACTTAAACAAGTGCAATTTTGCATGCAAATGAATACATACTTTGCAAAGAACATCATCTGAGCAGGTGGTCATTCATGTGCCCCGGAACACATTAACATACATACTGATCAAAGAATGTGGCAATTTGTGGCCCAGACCAACTCTGAATGTGGTCTTGTCTATGTATAAAGTTCAATACGCATCGGGTGCATAGATCACACCTCTACTTAAAGCGTTCACTTGTGATCAGATCACCCAGGATGTATGTTAAAACCAGGTGTAAACAGGGCCAGAGCCATTGTTTTGCTTTGATTTGATTGACTGATGGTCAGCAGGAGGAGAGTTAGAGAAAGTGAATATAACTGAGGTGTTCAAATGTTAATCTCGGCCAGTTTTGTAGAGATTTTAGGTGCCAAAGACACATTTTAATGGCACACTTAATGGGTGGTAATTTCAGACACTACACATACTTAACTCACTACAGTATGTGCCAGTCTCTTTGCATATGCGCACATACTGTCCACTGTATTAATGCCAATTGAGCAGTTCTCAACCTCTTAGAAAAGGGATATGCAGCACAATATTAATGTCCACTTAAGTTGTGCAGGTCAGTATGGTCAATTAGACAGTTTTAACAAATTAGATGGGGGACAGGTCAGCAATTTTTTTTTTTTTTTGTGTGTGTGTGTAATGGTTTCACTGTGTCATTGTATCACAGAAGAATTATCATCAGTCTGAATGACCCTCAAAGGAATGAAACAGAAAGCTTATTTTGAGCTGAAGCTGAACAAAGGATATTAACTCTGAGCGTCCCTGCTCACATTGTTATATCAAGGCCGTAGTCGGACTGAGTTTGTGGGTAATAATGACCCTGGCCTCAGCTTTCACACTAGCATCTAATCCTCCAGGGCCTGTCAGTCTTCTGTCAGCCTGGTTCCATCTCCTGCTGCTGCTGCTGCTGTGTGTGTGTGTGTGTGTGTGTGTGTGTGTGTGTGTGTGTACGTTGATACTTCAGAAAGAGTAAATGTACACAAGGTACTGTAATAGCCAAGTCAGCCAAGTGCGATAGACATGGATCTCCGAAGTATTTGTGTAGCAGCTTTACTGCGCTGTATGTCGTCCTGACGCTGTACAGTTAGTGACTCAAGCAGAGTTGGAGTGCATGCTGTGTGTTCATCCTCTTTTCCAAGTCTCTGGGTTTTGGCTTTGGGGGATGCCTTTTCTGACTAGTGATTTCTTGACTGGATAATGGCAGCATGTATAGCGAGGGATAACAGAAATCTCTTAAGTGAGTCCTCGCAGCCTATCTATAGCTTTGTCGCCAGCGGAGGAGTTAGGAAGATTTTTTAGAGGTTAAATCTCATCTCTCCACAGAATATTGTCGCCCGCATTAGCATATAAATGTGCTCCTTGTGAGATGCATGTTTAATATGGGGGAGATTTAAAAGTATAATCATACACAAAGTGATGATGTGGCAGTGAATGGGACAAACACAAGACAGGGGAGGTGTACTGATGAGCTTTACCACCGGCGCTTTGTGTGAACCTTGTGTGTGTGAGACAGCAGATAGTGTACATAAAGTGTGCGAAGAGATAAAGCAAGTGTATATGTGATTCTGCGCCTGCCTGCCTGTGTGAATGACAGAACAATCAGCGGTGGCCTCAACAGGAGAAATATACACACTACTGCTAACCTGCAATCTCCCCCCTTCTCTGCTTTCCTCCCCCATCATCCCCACCTCACCTTATCTTGCCTCACCCCCCTCCTCCACTCAGAAACCAAAGCAGAAAGACTGGCATCCTCCTGATGGCTTCATCCTGGGCCTGTGGACTCTAATCCTCCTGGTGTTTTTCAAGACATATGGCATGAAGCACCTCAAACACATCTTCTGAGGCCTGAGCGTTTATGCCACTGGGTATCTGCGGACAGCTTTTACTGAAGGGATATTAGAAGGAAGGTGTGGTTTGTGACAGACTTATTTTCCTGAAAATGGATGTATGGCACCAAAACTGCTTGGCCAAAAACTGTGATGTAAATGGTGCCTTTTTTGGATGATTGCTCTCCACTGATGAAATGTAAAGCTGTTTGTGTGACAAGAGTTAAAGGGACAAATACTTGAAAGTGATGCATCAAATATGTGGGTATACCATGGGTATACCACAACTGTTTTAACTGTTTTAATTAGTTCTCTGTGACAAGGACTTCAACTTATATTTATTTCTCTTTGTGTCAAAAGTTGTGTTTTGTCAAGCAATTCCATAATTGCATTGATCTGGTTAAAAATGCACTGAATCGAGTCCGCAGATAAGAATTTAATTTATTTTCGAGAGCGCGCTGCTCTGCATATTTCAGCAGCCTTTTTGTTTAAGTGCTACTCAGAGTGTCTGCTCGGTCAGAAAAAGGAAAGTGTGGCACGAGGGCAGGCTGATTGGCTGTGAGTGGGCTGTGAAGAGATTACCATTTAATGTCTCCCTTGTCCATATACATTACACCCCTTGACCGTCATATCGCGCTTGTGAAGGATAACAATCACGCATAATCCCATCTTGCATGATGGACCCATCCACTTTCCCATTCACCAAATTGCCCTCCCTGTGGAAACATCCATTAGCTCCCCAGCCGTGTACTCCGCTGATTGTATTCTTGGTGATGGACAGCTATTTCCCCGGCCATTCCACGTCTCGCGCTACAGCAGCGATAAGTGAGTGATAACCTAGTAAGCCGCCGGCCGTCCCGAATGAATCTCCTCTATGCTGAGACGTGTTTTCCTCCTTTTTCCCCCCTCTCCCTTTCTCTGCATGTGTAACCACTCTGCATTAGGCTCATTGTTGGGGGAGTGACGGATGCTCAAAGCATATGGATTGAACCTACGGTAGTTTATCTTTGCTCCTTGGCGCAAGGACCCGCCCATCAGGTGCCCGCTGCCACTCTCCCTCGCGGCTGAAGTGGAAAATAGATGGAGTTGGAAATGAAACCATATGTATGGGAAAGCAGCTGCTGCGTCAGCCGCCAAGTACCTTTTCTTATACATTATTTATCCAACGCTTATTTCCTCTTCCTTTTTCCTTCCTGTTTCTGATTTCCTGTAATTTCATTCCTCCTGGTCCCCTTTCAGAGAGAGCAAGCTCATTTTACTTCCTCAATTGGGAGAATTTTGATACCCTGATTAAAGATGAAATACTGAATCAAAGAAATGTATTTGTTGTTTTTGTTTGTTTGTTTTCCTTCCTTAATGACCCTAATACTGTATAAAAACACACTATCTGCCTTTACTGTTACAAACCCTTGAAGGTATGCCTGGCAGAGCTCAATCTAAGCTTATTTTATACCACAAAGACATCCTTGAAATCTGTGCGCTCGAGTTGACTTACATACCTGCTGTGTTGTTTTCTTTACTGGAAACATTTCAAACAATCCAGAGAGGCTTTTCATAATGTAGTTACTTTCTGTTCCAGTCTGCTATTTCAAAAGGCAGAGCAGCCATTCGATCCAACCAAGCCTCCGTATACGATCAGTGTAGCAGCAATCAGGCTGGCAGCAGATACAATAAAAATTAAAGCCAAACTATCTCAGATGGATTTGTTTGTACTTAAACCCACTTCAAAATTGACTCCATCTCTTCTGTGCCTCTCGTTCTTACTTCAGTGCTCGCAGATGGAATTGAATATACTCAGCCTTTCACTGTGGTGATGTACTCTCCCGTCTCCTCTGTCACTATGGTTTCCCTATGCTAATAAAGATCTGTGTCTGTTTTCCTTCACACCTGACTTGGTGGGGAGAAAAGCCAGTGACAGGACAATATTAGAGCAGCCATCTCCAAAGAGGCAGCGAGATTTCAGGCTGAAGAGTCAGGCAGGATGCTCTGAATATGTCACACAGGTTGTTCAAACGGCAAACAGCGTCGGTATTCACCAGTGAGCGCACACGCACATACGCTCGTTGTCTTTAGAAGTGGAACAACATCGACATTAGCCCCATGTGGCAGCCTGCTAAATTTAATGATTTACGCACAAACAGACACAAGCGCACACATGCTGTTTGGAGATGGTGACAGGATGTCCAATTTCCATGGAAACTCAGGATTTCCAGCCACTTGGCTGTCAGCGAGCTTTTGTAATGTCAATCATTCCAAGGAATGATGATAGTAATTTTAGCAGTCAGATTTTCATTCTCATCTGCCACAATAGCTGTGGCATAAATCATGCTCAGTGGCGCTTGCTTACTATAATTTTTTTTATTTATATACGGCTTTCTCTTCAACTTAGTGTAAGAAAACAAAACTGAAGAGTGGAGAGAGTGTCACATTTTAATAATGGCTGCTCAGACAGACAGTCCTGTAATAAATATGAGCGGATTTCTTTTCCTCTCCAGATTGCATTGTTTGAATGTTTCATTCATTTATGCAAAGGCAATTTTTCACAGAGTATAAACTAAAGCAAAAATAATTCAACTCAAGGACTGCTAAAATAAACACTGTGTGCATTATAAGCATAAAAATCATTTTGGTATGTTTAAATCCCAAAGTGAATAGACTGATAGCATTTTTCAGCCTTGAAGACAATAATTTTAGTAACTGTAGTAGACTGCTTTATTAATTGCTGTTTCCAAGGAGACAATTATTTCCATAACAACTGGGCATGCTCCATCTGCTGCTGAAGACAGAGATCTGGATGAAAGCTCCAGAAAAAGGTAGTAAGTGGACCTTGAGGTGAGGTTGTTTTGTCACTTAAAATATATGTTTAATGCCTTGATGTGCATGGCAATAACTTTTAAGGCAATACAGCGTACCTTTTGTGTGACATTTCCCAATTTTGAAACAACATATGCGCTTACTAGTTATTCCTCTGCTTTCAGGCCTATCTCATGGTCTTCATACTCCCAGCCATCTGCATGACAACTGAGCAAACTCGTGAACTTTCAAGTGGACAAGGTTGTAAGCTCCAGAAGAAACTGGTAAGTAGACCGTGACTTTATTTATTTTTTACTATCTTAAAAGGTCAAGAATTAACTTTTACCCTTAGGTCCCAAGTTATTAAGCTCCTTATTTTTTTATAGGCATTAATGTAAACACAAGAATTGTGTATTATGTAGTGTTTAAGCTAACGGGGGAGAAAGAAGGGATGACATGCGGCAAAGGGCCATGGGTTGGAATTACACCTGTGGTTGCTGCAGCAAGGACATTGCCTTCGTAGATGGGCTGTGGGAAATTTGGAACAGCACTTCACTATTTTCTTATTTTTTTCTCAGGGTATCTGCCGGTCTTTTAGAAGTCTTAAAAAGCACCATTCTTCACAAAAGGCCCTAGAAGGTATTAAAAACTCTTAGACATAATTTACAAAAGTCTCCTCCCTGCTGTAGGCTGTAATGTTAGCTGCAAAATGTTTCTGTATGCAATTACTGTCTGTTGGGAGACGTTTGACACCTGTAAACTAAATGTGATTATTGTGACAGTGGATTGTGTGCACAGGAAGCTGTTATATCCTTTTTTGTGGAGTTTTAATCAGAGTTTTCATCAGACCTTGAGCAATCACTGTCACTGCTCCCAGCTACAGTAGCCAGGAACCTCATCTCATAATCTTGATTTTTACCAAAGACTCAAACTAACTTTAATAACAGTAATTTAGAGCAATTTCCCTCGGGATAAATACAATTCTAAATTATAAGGTTTTTTATTGATTAATCTAGCCCTTTATTTTTTGCCACTTATTTGAGTCCAGGCAGCACTGATTTCATAAATCATGTCATTAGAAATTATTGTTAAATACTGCTTACATGTTAAAAAGTGTTTTCATTACACTTGTACTTATAGCTGGCAGGACTGTAAAACAGATAATAAATGACATTCTATGCAGTATTAAACATGTCTCATAAAGTCTTAAATTTAATTTGGCTAGCCCTGCACAATCCTGTGTATAGGCCAGTTTAACGCTCAAGTAAAAAAAAAAAAAAAAAGGATTGATGATGAAAAAAATAGTTGTTAGTATTTTTGTGTATGTTTGAAGAGGATGAAGAGAAAAAGCACTCTGTAATTTTTCAACCCTGTTCATAGTTTTTTGATACACTTTCATTCATATCAAGTACATTTAACTGATCTGGCCCAGCTGTCTAATAATTACTATTTAAGATCCGCCGCTGAATACTTGTTTTCCCTTCATCATCTCACAATGTTACCTAGATCTGTCTGCTTTACCCTCAGTTTACACGGCAATGCTATTTTCATTTTTCAAAAATGCTCCAACGCTCCGTCATGAAGACAGTCAGGGATCTATTTGTAGCTCCAGAGAGTAATGGCCTTGTAACGCTGCCTGTCTTTCATTATTATTTCAGTGTGACACAGACTGATGTCACAACCAGACAGGAAGAGAGAGATTGAAAAGTAAAAATGGCAGCTGCCTTCAGTGGAGGGTGAAGGTGAGTCACTGGCCTCTCATCCGCCACAAAACCTCCATGTTTCATCTTCACATCTGCGAGGCTACGACACATACATACAGATGTTACATTTAAATGTTTACTCTCACATTTTTACCATGTTGTTATTGTTACATATAGACACTGCTGAATGCAGGTTTATTGATAAAGTATTTTATTGAGTGGAATGATACATTTCTATCATGTGAAAGAAAAACAGATTAACAACATCAGTGCTGAAATGATTAGTCAATCATTCCATCAACAGAAAATGAATAGGCAACAATTGTTTCAAAGGAATAGCTGGATATTATGAGAAATGTGCTGTCTTGTTGAGAGTTAGATGTTCAGATTGACTTTACAGTAAATGTTAATGGAATAAGCAGCCAGTTAGCTTAACCTAGAATAGAGAGAGGAAACTGCTGGTTGCACCTGCTCCAACCACCTCTATAGCTTACTGATTTTTATGTATGTATTATATCTTTTTATCTATAATGTAAAAAACACAATTTTATGTTTTATGGGGAGGTTATGTGCCGGGACTTGAGTTCCCCTTTATGTTAAGCTAAGCTACGCTAAGTGGCCGCTGATATTCACAAGAGATGAATCAATCCTTTCATATAACTCTCTGCAAAAATGGAAATAGTCACATCCCCCAAAATTTCAAACTAGTCCTTTAAGTTATTCATAAAGCAAACATTTCAAATATTCCACTGTTTTCACCTTGCCAGATGTGAGGTTTTACTGCTTTCTTTTATATCACTGCCAATTGAGTATCTTTGAGTTTTAGAGTGTTGTTTTTACAAAACAAGCAATCTGAAAATGTCACCTTGGGCTCTGGGAACTTGTGATTGGCATTTTTCACTATTTTCTGACATTTTATAGACTAAACAATTAATCTGAAATGAAAACAGCAGTTAGTTGCAGCCCCAAACGACAGACTGAGACTCAGTTAATTAGGCAAACCCCAGAAATATTCAAGTGCTTATCATTTTGCTCATACAGACCGTTGGTCACAGCCATTTGCAGATGAGTTTATAGAAAACAAACATATCTCTGGCTTTGCTACAGCACAAAGTCAGCAGCAGGACTCTCAGTACAGTAGCACCCCTCCTGCAGCTGTGTGTGATGTATGAAAAGGAATCGCGTCCTTGTCTCCACCGAGGAAACGCAATGTGAAACATGTCCTCATGGTGTGAGCACCTATGTATCTGACCCTCAGCATCCCTCCTCTCATTACTCACATTACAGAGATGAGGGCAAAATCAATAGGGACTTAGCACCAGGATGTGTCATTAAGATAACCACACGTCTCATCACTTTCTTCAGACCAACACCTGATTCTTATTCATGGAGGAGAGAAGAGGGGGAAAATAGGAGATCTCAAAGAGGAAGGGGCAGTTTACAAGCAGCATATACTCCATCAAATGAGAGGAGAGTGCACATAAAACACAATCGAGAGGGAGAGAGGAAAGGACTGACAGATCACATACTCATCAGTTTAACAAAAAACGGTGTAATTCTCCTGCGAGGCTATTCAGGCTCACGGAAGAGGCAGCAGATGAATACTGTATAGTAGGATGGATGGAGCTGCTGCAGCCCTGCTCTCGATTTTAATCTTCCACTTGTCTTGTGTGACATGGCTGTGCATTTACATGGAAATCCAGCTTGTAGCTATATAAATTGCGCTATTAAGTGGTGACAGGAGCCGACAAAGCCTTATGATACACGTATGGGTGGGACAGAGGAGGTGCACACACATGAGATAGCCTCCCGGTTAAT